AATCTTAGTTACTTAGGAGGCTGAGATCTGAGGATCCTGGTTTGAAGTCAGTCCAGGCAGAGCAATCCCTGTGATTCTTATCTTACCTCCATTTAATCAGCAAAAAAAAAAAAAAAAGCTAAAATTGAAGATGTGGCTCAAGTGGTAGAGTGCTAGCCTTGAGCAAAAAGAAAAAAAGAAAAAGCCAAGCAAGGGCATGAGGCCCTGAGTTTAAGCACACACACACACACACACACACACGGAGGAGGACCCATAAGGAAAGATAGAGCAAGTCCTAATCAATCCTCTAAGAGCAGAAAGTCCAATTTTCTCCACTTGTACCCCACCCAACTGCCAGCCCTGATACAGAGACTAAGCTAAATGACATTCCATTGTAATATGGGACTTATACCAAGGTTCAGTTTCTGGGCAATTTCTAAAGGGTTCAGTGTAATCTAAGGGTTGCCTGTATCAATGGATCAAGTCCACACTAGCTTCAAGCAGCAGCCTCAGCCCTCCCAGCCCCTCCCCCTCTCATCCTGCCTATCCCTCCCATCCCTCCCATCTCAGAGTCAAGCCAGCTCTTGCACAATCCCCAAGGCCACATAATCTGGACCAGAACCAGAACTGATGAGAACTTGCTGCAAAAGCACAACACTTCATGAGGAAGGGAAAACAACAAATTCTAGTCTGAAATAATTCACACCGATGCCTACAACTTCCAAATCTCCTAAAGTAGGTTTTTTTTTTTGTTTGTTTGTTTTTTGGGGGTTGTGGGGCTTGAACTCTGGGCCTGGGCGCTGTCCCTCAGCTCTTCAGCTCAAGGCAAGCGCTCTACCACTTGAGCTACAGCGCCACTTCTGGTTTTCTAGTGATTTATTGGAGATAGGAGTTTCACAGTCTCTCCTGCCCTGGCTGGCTTTGAACCGCGATCCTCAGATCTCAGCCTCCTGAGTAGCTAGGATTACAGGCGTGAGCCACCAGCGCCCGGCCTAAAGTAGGTTTTATGGGTTTCAAATATAAGGACTCTTGGTGCCCCAGGCCCTGCTGTGAGGTGAGAACAGGGCTGGGCTCCCCAGAACTAAAGTGGGGCACCTCACAGTCTGGAATTCCAACTATTCCATGCTTTACTCAGTGCCAAGATGGGGGAAGGGGTATCTCTCTGTATTGTACCCACCTGACATGGAGCCTCATAGAGAAAAGGTCAGAAAACATGAGTAAAAATAAGTTCATAGATCAATTCACAGATGAACCATCTGGCACATGCAAAGGAAGAAGGAAAAAACAAAGGAAAAAGGTGGAAGGAAAGGCCCACACCATAGAATACTTCTATCCTAGGCCTCTCCAAATCCAGCACCAACTACTGATCTGACTGGATTGAGCAAAGCCTCCTGCAGATCAGGTGTGAATACTGTCTGAATCTTGGGGATTCACATTAATCCCTCACCTCACTTCCCTAATACCTGTTGAATATACTCTGCTGACTCTGCCCAAGGTCCTGGGCAGTAAACCCAGACTGTATAAGGCCTGAAGATTTTCCTTTAGCAAAAAAAACCTGGAAAGCTACTAAATTGCTGCCCTTAGAAGTCAGAGGACCACAAGGATCCCAGAACAACCTCCCCAGCACTGAGATCTTGAACAAGTGACTCACCCCCTACACTCCCAAGTTCCTAATCTGTCCAGTGGGACAGATTGCTCTATCTGTAGGAATGCCAGCCCAATAGATGCAAGTTGCTAACTACAGGCCCTAGTTGCTCTTCATTCAGCTCTAGGCCTAGAAAAACATCCTGAAAAGAAGAAGGAGGTCATAGCCTGGAAAAGGAGGATGAGAGGTATCACCTCAAAGCGAGAAACGAAGTCTTTCAGGTTTGGAAATGTGTCCAAGCATTTGGGGTCAAATATGCGGTGCAAGTCAAGGATATCATAAGCCAGGAAATCCACAAAGGTGATCTGCAAAAGAGCCAAGGATAAAGGAGCATGAAATTCTTGTTTTCTTTATTTTTCTTTCTTTATTTCTTTTTTTTTTGTCAGTCATGGGGCTTGAATTCTGGGCCTGGGTGCTGTCCCTCAGCTCTTCAGCTCAAGGCAAGTCCTTCCACTCCTTGAGCCACAGCACCACTTCCAGCTTTCTATGGAGATAAGAATCTCAGGACTTTGCTGCCCAGGCTGGCTTTGAAACATGATCCTCAGATCTTAGCCTCCTGAGTAGCTAGGATTCCATGCCTGAGCCACCGCCTCCCAGCTTGTGAGCATGAAATTCTGTACTCTTGAAAGAACAAGTTCTCATTCATTCCCTTTTTAGTGTATGTGTGCCAGTTCTGGAGCTTGAAATCAGGACCTGGGCATTGTTCCTGAGATTCTTTTTGTTCAAGGCAAATATACATTATTTGTAACAGTTTATTGGAAGTAAGAGGCTCAGGTCCTTTCCTGCCCAGGCTGGCTTCAAACTATGATGTTCACATCTCAGATTCCTGAGTAGCTAGGATTACAGATGTGAACAACTGGTACCCATCTTGATTCCCTCCCTTTTACCTTGTCACCAACAAACCATGGCTGCTTCCCCAGGAACTCTGAGAAGAGCTTCATCATTCCAGGGAGTTGCTCCAAATACTCTAGCTTCAGTTTCTCCTGAGACAGAAAACAGCTGTCACTACCCTCACCCACAAATTCCCTGACATAGTGACCAGTCTCCACAGTGTTAGGCATAGCCCCAATCAGCAGACATCTACCCTCAGATGGAGACTAGATCGGTGTTCAGTCTTTAATAGACTCCTTCTGGATACTTCACCCAGTCCTTGAAAGGCAATAAAAAGTCAGACAAGAATGGGCCACTTCTCTTAAGGAAACATTACAATTCCTGATAGTCAAAAAACTTCCTGTGTGTCTAACCCGACTACCTGGCAGGTCTAGGCTGTGATGCCAGGCAGAATCAAAGAAGCAAGAACTAAAAGTACCAGTAGAGAAGATGATAGTTCTACCTGGAAAGTTTCAAAAGCATGAAATAAACATCTGAGTCCTTATCATAAAGCAAAGAATGAAGCTGAAAAAGAGGAGCAGAGGCCTTCTGGCTGGCCCCATAAGGAAAAGTAATTGATTCATGCTGATGTGAAGGGGACAGCACTAGGAAACATTTGGGCAGAGGTCAGAACTCAAGACTTCCATGACAATTCTGCATGTGGACTTCCCTTTCTCCTCAGTCAGTGTGTTTATTTCATGAACAGGTACATGGAATGAACCTGCTGGGAGAAGAGCCAGGGCAGAGGGCAGAAGTGGAGAGAATTCTGAAACCCTGACACTTTCTAGCACTGACTATCCATCTTGGAGAATCTAGACTGCTATCAGGTTAGTAGGGACTGAATCAGAATGTTCAGTTAATACAGTCCGGTGAGGGACACGGGTGGCAACACAGGAAACATCCTTGAAGATAAGGAGTTCTAATGAGTTCAAAAGTGAAAGAGGACCAGCAGAGATGGGAATTTAAAAGATTTGACTCTTGATCCAAACCCTGCCTGACACAGCTCATGGCAGAGGAGGAGAGGGACAGGGAGTGGGTAGCAATATATGACTCACAAAGTCTGGGCTGTAGCAGACTCTGGCTAGCTGATTGGAGACATCCATAGCCTGGTTCTCCAAAATGTCCACACGAATCTTCTCCTCCTCTGTCTCCCCACCTGCAGCCACACAACTCAGTTGCATCCTCTCCATCCCACCCCAAACAAGCCCAAGGGATGACCACTGCCTGTCCCACACACGCCCAGCCACCAGCCCTACTCACACAGGTTGTGCTTGCGGGCAATGTAGCGCAGGATGGCATTGCTCTGGGTGAGCTTGTGAGCTCCATCAATCAAGTAGGGCAGCTGGATGGACAAGCAGGGAAAGTCACAAGGGGCCCCAGGTCCCAGCAACCCTTCTCTGGGTTAGAGCAGACACAGAACCTAGCACTCAGTGTGCTTGGCATTGGTGAGCCCCACATAAACACACTTCAGAATGAATGCAAGAGTCAAGACATAGAGCGTCATAGAAAACCACAGATAGCCGGAAAGGAAAGGAGTAGAGCAGAAAAGCCCTGATCCTAGAAGCTCTCAGCTGGGCAAGGAAAGGGGGGAAGGAGGGAAGGAGGCCACACTTCCCTAGACCACCCCTTCCCCTGCACCTACATTGGGGAAGTCCAGGCCCAGCTTGAACTTCTCACTCAGCCACTGGCTTCTGTCATAGTCAGGAGCTGTGATAGATGAGATCAAGTGAAAACAAACCTCCTTGAGTACAGCCCTCCTTCCCCAGGACCCCCTGAGGCAGTGGATCTGCACTCTGGCCAGCTGTGTCCCACATTCCAAGGCTACAGGGGTGAAGAATGCTGGGAAGGCTGAGGGATCTAAGGACCAGGTCACAAAAGGTTTAGGCCAGTGCTAGACAACCCCACCCAACTTCAGACAGAGGGGTCCCTGGTCCTCCACTCCCAGCTCCTTGTAATGGAAATCCAAAGTGAGCCCTTTTAGGATTTGGGAAGGAGCAAGCTCTGGGTGCAGTTGGAGGCCTGCAGAGCTGGGCAACAGGTGACCACAGTATGAGTGGCTGGGCACCCCAATGGGCAAGAATTGGTCACAAGTCTGACCAGGAGGTGTCATTACCGTCCCCCATCATGTATCTCTTCTCCTCATAGCTTGTGTCTGTGTATTCCAGGAGCAGGCGGATGGCATGGGCCAGCTGGGAAAGTTGGCAGGTGAGAGAGATCAGAAATGGGGGATCCTGTCTGTGACTTCACCTCCTCCAGGTGAAGTCTAACAATATCTAACAATACTTTCCACATGCATGCACACTCTATGCGTGCACACACAGAAAGAAACAGGTCGCACGTGTGTGCCCTCTGGTAAGGCTCAGGCAGAAGACTCCAGCAAGTTCTGAGGAAGATCCCCATTCTAGAACTGCCTCCCCCCCAACCCGAGTCAGCTTCTCCCCATTCCTCGGCCCCTCCCACCCGTTAGTCGGTCGCTCACCCCGCGGATGTCCCAGTAACCAAGTGTCATGGGCATGGTGCTGGTATTATGGACCAAGCCACACTGGCCTAGGCCGACTTGGACTGTGACTTTACCCAGTGTCCAGTGGGGGTGGGCGGGGCTTCTGGCCCCACCCCCATGCCTCCCCTGGCCCCGCCCCTTCGCCCCGCCTCGCCCCCATGCTTCCCCTCGCCCCCACTGCTCCTCCCAAAGCTTCAAACCAGAAGGCCGGAAGTACTTTTTGCCCCCGCCTGCGGCTACGGAAGGAATAAGAACGGAATCCGCTTCAGGCCCGCCCCACCGGGCGGGCCGCGGTCACCGGAAGTGGGCGGGTGCGGGGGGCCAGGCGGGTCGGGTAGGCGCGGCTGCTCTCCCATTCTGGGCCCGGGTCGCTGATCCCTGGAGTCGGTGTCCGACGCGGGAAGCCCGGGCGTTCCTGGAGGTCCCGCGCCGTCCCCCGGTCTGCAAAGGCTCTGCCGACGCGCGGGCTCCGCTGGTGTTTCTGGGCCCAGTGGAATGCAGGCCGGGCGTCGGTGTTCCTCGGCCAGGACCCGGCTGGGTCCTGTGCTGGGTCCTCTATTGGGAAGCAGCCTGAAAGTGAATTCTTGTGTAGAAGCATTCCCACCAGGCAGTACTAACGCGCTCCCAAAGGGCCTGGCCTGTGAGCAAGCATGTGTCATCCCAGGCAGTGAGCCACTTCGTGCTGGGAACTTGCCAGAGTACGTGCACACACCTGGCAGGTACTGCTGAGCAGCCCTGCCTCTCGAAGCAATCAAGAGGGGGGTAAGGATAACCTGTACGGGGCTACTGCCAATACAGCATGGCATACTGCTTTACTTTCTCTGGTTATTGGGTAGTTCAGCTCTTTCCTTGCTTTCTCTTCTGTCTGCCTGCCCCACCCATTACAAAGAGTGGGCACTGATGCCTCTCATTATGATTGTAGAACCGCCTAATTCTCCCCTCAAGTCTGCCGTATTTTCTGTATTCATCTGGGTTTACTCCCATTGTAGCCCTTACGAAAAGGAATCGGAGGAGCCGGGTTCTGGTGGCTTACGCCTGTAATCCTAGCTATTCAGGAGGCTGAGATCTGAGAATCAAGGCTCAAAGCCAGCCCAGGCAGGAAAGTCCATGAGAGTCGTATCTCCAATAAACCACCGGTTTATTGTGCTAGCCTTGAGCTGAAGAGCGCAGGGACAGCGTCCAGGCCCAGAATTCAAGCCCCATGACCGAAAAAGAATAGAAAAAAGAAAAGGAATCGGAGGAACTTACCGGTGCTTGCCTCATCTTGGGGGCGCTAGTTACACTTTTTAGCTAAACACGATTTCCTAATGGGACAGCAGTTTTAGCAATCTGGAAATCTCTAACAATTGGTTGGAATCAATCAGTTTAGCAGGTGCCAGTCTCACAAGAGAGAATATCTTCATGGAGCAAAAATTGCACTAATAATGCATACTTTTTTTTTTTGGTCATGCTGGTACTGGTGTTTGAACTCACAGCCTTGAGATCTTCCCTGGCTTTTTTACTCAAGGCTTTCCACTTTACCACTTGAGCCACTAACAGCTCCACTTCTGGATTTTTGGTGGCTCACTGGAGGTAAGAGTCTCGTGGACAATCCTGCCTGGACTAACTTCGAAGTATGGTCTTCAGATCTGTCTCCTGATTAGCTTGAACTGCAGCTGTGAGCCACTGGTGCCAGCTCATTTGTTATTCTGGAGCAAGTCACTTTTGTTTATTCTTTGAGTTATAAAAACAGTTCCTCCAAGGCAGACTAAGCAAACAACTTTGTAAGCCGAAACTACCCCCAAATTAATCATAATTTGTTGATCTTGTTGACAGAATTGCAGTGACCACTGGAGCATTAAGTTTTTCCAAGACAAAAGGTTCGGATTAATGAGGTGAAAGAAGGGGCTACCGTAAGAAACCTGTTAAAAAGAAGTGGCCTTCTAAAGTTTTTGAAACAACAGCTATTAAATGTTTGTTGACAAGATCAAGTGAAGGCCATGGATCTAGCAATCCGTAGATTCAAAACATAACAATAATAGTCTATATAAAACATACAAGAAACATACAGTGGAACCTCACTTGTACAACTAATGTGTGTTAATTTTTAAAAGAAAGAACCAGGCACTGGGATTCAGCCTGTAATTCACTTAGGAGGCTAAGATCTGAAGATCTGAGTTCAAAGACAGTGATTGCAATTCTAAGCCAGACCAAGCAGGAAAGCCCCTGAGACTCTTCTCTTATTTCAAATAATCAGCAAAAAAGCTGAAAGTGGAGCTGTAGCTCAGGCAGTAGAGCACCAGACTTTAGAAAACAAAAAAGCTAAGGGAGAGCACAAGGTTCTGAATTCAAGCCCTAGTACTCTACAATATCTTCCCCACCATCTCTCTCTCTCTCTCTCTCTCTCTCTCTCTCACACACACACACACACACACACACAAGTGTATGGTGGATTTTTGTTTTTTAATCTTAAATGATAGAGAATAGAGGGACTCAGAATGTATTAAGATCAGGGAAGTAGGGGGGCTCTGCTGACTCATGCCTGTAATCCTAGCTATTCAGGAGGCTGAGACTTGAGGATTTTGTTCAGCCTGGGCAGAAAAGTCCGTGAGATGCTTATCTCCAATAAACTACTCAAAAAAGCCAGAAATGGAGCTGTGGCTCAACTGGTAGAGCACTCACCTTGAGCAAAAGAAACAGAAACAGTGCCCAGACCCAGACTGGCAAAAAAAGAAAGAAAGAAAGAAAAGAAAAAAAAAAGAGTCAGGGAACTAATATTTTAGAAATCTTCAAAGTAAGTAAAAATAAGGAATGGTAGGCAGAAAGAATATGGAATCTGAATGTTAATCTTTATCAAAAGTCTGGGGCAAAAGCTAACCACATAGAATATCAGCATCTTGGGGCTGGGAAGGTGGTTCAGTGGTAGAGTGATTGCCTTGCATGCACGAGGCCCTGGGTTCAATTTCTCAGCACCATAAACAGAAAAACCTGGAAGTGGCGCTGTGGCTCAAGTGGTAGAACACTAGCCTTGAGCTGAAGAGCTGAGTGACTGTGCCCAGGCCCAGAGTTCAAGCCCCATGACTGACAGATAGATAGATAGATAGATAGATAGATAGATAGATAGATAGATAGATAGATAGATAGATAGATAGATAGATAGATCAATCAGCATCTTCTGGAAAATTCCTAACAATATCACGTTAAGGTTTCCAATGTATGGAGGCCCAGTGTTTTAGAAGAGTTTATATCTTTCGGGCTGAATAATAATAGCTCATTCAATCCTTAGGATCAACACTTTGGACTTTGAATGCTGTCAGTTGTTAACAGTATCAGATAACACTCTCCCCACTGGCTTCAAGGGCAGTTTTTCTTTTTTTTTCCAGAACACTGAATCACCTCCTGTTAAGTCATAGGTGGGTAGCAATGTCACTAACAGCTTTTGATTATAGAGCCGGAGGTGTCAGGTGCCAGTGGCTCATACCTATAATCCTAGCTACTCAAGAGGCTGAAATCTGAGGATCGCTGTTTGAAGCCAAACTGGGCAGAAAAGTCTGTGAGATTCTTATCTCCAATTACCCACCAGAAAGCCAAAACAGAAGGGGAGCTGTGGCTCAATGATAGAGTGCCAGCTTCAGGAAAAAAAAAAAAGTCGAGAGAGAGCACAAAGCCATTTGGAAGTTAAAAGGGCCTTCCAGACCTTGGTTCTTGTTCATATGCCATATTTAGAGTTATTACGAGTGCACTGTTGGCAGAGAGACATGGTTTAAAAACATCACTGGTAATACCTATACAATACCAGTGATGTTAGTATTATTGCTAATTTATCCCTGCTATTAACACCCTGAAACATTTTTGTTCAACTCTATTGTAAATAACTTAAGATTATGAGTCAGCTGCCCTAGCCATGCAAGGAGCATCCAGAATTTTCCACCTTCGAAAATTTTCCACTTTCCTGCTTTTTGCAATCAAAGGCTTGTCTGTGATAGTTAAAAATAGCTTTCTTGAATTTTTCCCCTTCTTTCTTTTCTGGGTGATTATAGGAGCAATTAGCTTGGTTAATCCTGCTTTATTTATCATGGCAATAAAAGCAGTAATCTGAGGCTCTGAGTGTTTATGCTTGAATAATGTTCTTTCTGATTTTATTACAACTATTTCCTTAGGTAATAGCAAAACAGCTACAAGGTTTATTTTAACTTATTTAGTCCTTACAGGTTGTTTTTTTTTTTTTTGTCCAGGTTAGAAACTCATTTCCAAAATGCTCTAAATTCATAATCTATCACAAAGATACATCTACAATGAATATACACATACACACTTCTTACAGCTGGTAGAGCCAGGTGAGAACAATTGTTTTAGTTTTCATTTTGGTTTATATTTTAAGGGTGAATTTAGATTGTGAGAACATATTTATAAATATTTGTAGAAAAATATGATTAAATAGAAATATATTTAAATATATATATATATATATAGGGGGGTAGGTCGTAGGGCTTGAACTCTGGGCCTGGGAGCTGTCCCTGCGCTCTTCAGCTCAAAGCAAGCACTCTACTGCTTGAGTCACATCACCACTTCCAGTTTTCTAGTGGTTTATTGGAAATAAAATCTCATGGACTTCACTGCCTTGGCTGGCTTTGAATCACAATCCTCAGATCTCAGCCTCCTAAATAGCTAGGATTATAGGCATGAGCCACCGGTGCCTGGCTTATTTGTATTATTTTTATTTATTACATTTATTCATATTCATAAATATGCAAAATAAAGTCCAAGCTGTAGTTTATTTGCTTATATGAAAATGGAACACTGATAACTGCTGAAATTGTTTTAAACAGGGGGGAGAAGGATATCTTGTTTACACGTGTGGAAATGTCACATTAAACATCTCCCCCTTGTATAACTAATGTATGTTAAATTAAAAAATTAGGTCAGTGCAGTCTGGGGAATTTCTGGCCAAATGGTTTAAAAACACAGAGTGCATAAAAAACACAGTTATCAGAATGATTTAGTTTTTTTTTTTTTTTTTTTGTCGGTCGTGGGGCTTGAACTCTGGGCCTGGGCGCTGTCCCTCAGCTCTTCAGCTCAAGGCTAGCGC